TGGTCTTTATAAGCAGACATGTATTAAAAAAAGATTTTTATTTGTTCTTTTTTTTAAGTAATCAAAATACAAACATGATTCATTAATTGTCCCGAAGGATTTGTAAAAGTGAACAGTAACTTCTGTAAAGTTCTAAAGGTAAATACAAAAAAACAGTAAGATATTCAGCCCAACACGGCAACAACCAATGCAAAACTGGAATGGTACATCATTGGTACACAAACACCGAATGACCGATGTGCGTTACAAATGCACAATGTACAGTAATTACAATGGTTTGAAGGGTCAGTCCATCACAAAAATTATATTTCAGTTCTGGGTAGGTGTGGCAACTTGAATTACTCTCTGGGTTCTTATATGGAAAGGGGTCTGGCAATGAGATTTCTGCTGCTACTCTTCCCCTTGCTATGGCTCCATAGCAGGTCATGTTTATGGGCAGCTGCACATACCAGCTCTGAAAAAAGCCAGAATTTAGATTGCACCTGTGTGCATGAGCCCATAGAGCCAAGACATAAAAAACCCTCTAGCATCTCCCCATAACTGAAATACTTAGGTACATGGACAGCCCTTAAAAACACATTAAAGACAATTGAATTCAGCTGTTAAAAAAAGTGTTACATCATTATTAATTTTCACTAAACCCAACACCAGAAGCGTTCCAAGGCTTTGCGCTTCCTTAGGCAGCGCAGGAAATGCAACAGCTGACCCAAGTGAACGGTGAGAAGCCCCGCCCCCTTTACAATGGCATGCAGAATTGGGAAGTGTAGACCTGGCAGGTCTAACTGGTGGTTTCTGTGGCTCATCCCACCCTCTAAAACTCATTTTTTTTAAACCAGTTAAAGAAAGTACATGGAATGAGGTCACAAACTGTTTTATATTAGGAAGTAGAAAGAATGCGTTGGACGCGTGTGGTTATTCACTTGTTGTTTCTCAACCAATAGTAGTTGTGTGATCTGAATCTGTGTGATCTAGCTAATAGTTAGGAAGCTTCCACAAGCCAAAGGTTGTCCAGAGTATCCTTGTCTCAACAGTGAACACAGTAAATATATAAACTAAAGCGCCACAATGATTAAAACGTTCAGATACAACTTTATTCTATTGGGGGTTGTTTTTGGACCCCCAAAATACGTTGGACACTCTACTGAAATGTCCCCTGACCCTAAAAGAAAATGTGTTTAAAGAAGAGCTCCAGGAAGAATAAACCCTTGCTGTGGGGCTGCCCCTGCATTGTAAGGGTTAAGTTCTCATTTTGGTCTAGGGCCTTGGTTCTCAACTAGTGGGTCGTGACCCAAAAGTGGGTCGCGACCCGTGTTCAGTGGGTCGCCACATGCCTTCCACTTTTCTAGGTGAGAGGCTCCTCAGCCTCCCCCCTAGCGTAGCACCGTCCATTCTTACACCAAGCAGCCATTCAAAATATGCTGCCCGGTGCCGAGTGTCGACTTGAGGTGGGGTGGGCTGGGAGTACGGTGGCGAGGGAGATCCATCCATACGTGCATTGCTTATAGCTTCCTTTCGTGCCCTGTAGAGGTGCCTGGACTGGAGTGGCATCACATTCTGGCTCTCGGCACCTCTACAGGCACGCATGGAAACTGTACAAGCAATGCACATATGGATGAAGCTCCGTCACAGCATAGCAGCCCACACTGCCGTGCGTTTCATTGCAGTGCAATTTGGGTCACGACTTAATGACTGAGGACAAATGTGGGTCCTGAGGTTACACAGGTTGAGAACCACTGGTCTAGGGTCTTTGATAAAAAAGATATACTCAGCCGATTCTCTGTCCCATTTGGCTGCTAGGCTGGTCACCACAGCCTCTTCTTCCCTGGGCTCTGGCGGTCTAAGGATCCATGTTGTCATCAACTCCATTCACTTGCAATGGATGTGATTATGCTGAGAGACATTCCACGGCCAGAGTGGACGGGAAGGTGAGCAGTCACTGTCACGGGACCAAGGATTGGGTGAGTATATATCTTTTTTATGTTACACCCTAGACCAAACGAGTACTTAACCCTTACAGTGTGGGGTAGCCTCACTGCAAGGGTAAATGTTTATTCTGCCTGGAGTTCATCTTTAAGTGTGGCTGCTATAAGTACCTGGTAAGTACCATGTTAAGTACCATGCTAAGTACCATGTTAGCTTTTTGTAATGGTGGGCCAATAGATCAGCAAGAATGTCCCTACTGGTCCCCGAGCCAGTGTTATTGGATAGAGGAATGGCAGTTAGAAGCTGGAGAAGATCAGGCCTCAGTAACAAGGTGAAACTCAATCACCTTGTTGCACAGGTGCACAGAAGGCTTTTCATATTAACAGTGGGCATCTCGTGGTGTCTGCTTTTCCACAAGACTTTTATTGTTCAAATTTTAAAACACAGTGCAGGTTCTCTTTAGTCAGGACTGTCCATTGGAACGCTTCTGGTCTACAAGTATCTGCATACATGATAATACATACACAAATACGGGTGTGTGTTACACACGGATGAAGCACTATGTGCCGTACACGGAGAGGTATTGCGTGTCTGAAGTAGATATGTATAAAATGAGCCACTCGCTACCAACTAAAAAAATAGATAAGTATAAAAATACTCATGGTATCATTTTTCTCATGCATCGTAAAAAAAAACCCAGAACAGCGATCCAAAAAAGCGACTTCAGTTATTTGTCTACAAAGAGGAACGTTATTTAAAGCATAATTGTGTCAAGTATTCCTTCACAGTATCAATTGCTCATCACAACGGTGATCATGAGAGGCTTGGCACACGTATGAAGTCCATTGACCAGGCCAAAGGGGTCCCCATTACTGCTCCCATCTTGCATTTTATATCAGGTCCACAGCATCAAGGCCACCTATGCATTCGTTATAGAAATACATTTTCCGTTCCACAAGTGTAAATCATTACCTTGTATAGATGTTTCTTTTAAGATGCCCACATGCCAGCTGCAAACTTTAATCAGGCTTACGGCGAGAACGACAGCTATGCAAGCTGTTGTGTTGGAGTAATTTAGGTGGGCTGACAGGAGGGAGAGTGTTGCTGGATACTTCACACAAGCTTCGAACAGAGGAGTACATTTTGTATACAAAATAGTAAAATAGTATTTACAAAGTTGACTTGATTCCCTGGTCTTGCATCAAGTTTGTGAGAAGAGTTTGATTGTAAAATGAACCTCTTATGGAATATTGTGGTACGAATTGATAATACTTCCAGCGTACCTTTGGATTACAGTCCTATATTATACACAGGGTCTTGGCTTCTGGCTTTGAATTAAGCCCGCCCCTGCAGAGTGCCTCAGGAGCCAATGAAGGCTTTCACATTGGCCTGTAATGCTTTGGGGTCAGGGGTAGTTTCAAGTGGAGTAAGGCTTAGCTAATACTCAGGTAGAAGCCCTGTATAGTATGGGGCTGATTTATAAATGTTCAGCCCTGCATACAACTGGGCAAACGCCCTTTAGATGGCACTGAGAAGCACAGGAACTTGCTATGCTCTCAGTGCAATCTAGGAGCACTAGTTCGAAGCAAACAGCATTTGTCCAGCTATATGCAGGGCGGAACATTTATAAATCAGCCTGATACTATATACTGGGCTTCTACCTGAGTATTAGCTAAGCCCTGCTCCTCTTGGGGCTAACCCAGCCCCCAAAGCATAACAGGCCAATGTGAAAGCCTCTATTGGCTCCTGAGGCACTCTGCAGGGGCGGTCTCCACTCAATGACAATGTCAAAATACCTAAATATTAGCTAATTTATTTAACATTTTTAAATCAGTCCCTATGTGTCTGGGCAAAGGGGCTACTTGGGGCACTGCAATGATAAAAAACAATATCAAAGGTACTTCCAGACAAGGTGACTACGCTTTGGTAGTATTGTTAACCTGTCTACCTTAAAGGAACCTCACAGGTGCACTATGAAGAATAAGTGTTCAATCACACCATAGCTCTTTCAATGCAGGTAAATCAAGCAATTGTGCAACCGCAGCCTTTTTTTTTTCCCTTTCTTTTTCTGTCCCCTGACAGCTTAATTCGCATCCCCAATGTTCTATCATGTCAAACACCCTTGGCTAACTTTGGACAAGCAACAACAACTACTGGCCTCCTCCCTCTTTCATTCTGTTTTTCTGATAAGCTACCAGTTACTGCTCTTTCCCGGTATGGTTTGCGTTAAAGGAAAGGCGTTTTTAGACCTCACAAGCTACTCTTGTATGCATCAGCTGGGCAGAGGACTATTTTTTTTTTCACTAGGGGAGTTTATATTCAGGAAGAACTATACATATGCTGTCAAGGCAGTCTCTAAAATCACAGTGGAAAAAACTAAGTTGACCAAAGTGGCTGCAGTAACAGTAAAAAGCAGCTGTAAATTGCATCAGAAATAAGCTGGGTTTTGCATTTCACTTGAAATATTGTTGGCAGTCTTGTAGGCTGTATATGAGTAATAAATACTGGAAGAAACTGGGTAGTGGTGGGTGCGGGATATAGGGAGAAGCCACTATCCAGGCTCAAGAGGCTGGACTGGGCCATTGGGCCTCCTCCCCTTGATCCTCTATTAGGGAACCTGGTGATGCCCCAAGTGGTAGAAGAGTGTTCCCAACAATACCATTACCATAATATTAAGCCCTGTAATATCCTCTTGCCCTTCCTGCTGGAAGGTTTGCTCCCAACGACTTGCCAGAAAGCGAGGTTGTCACTTAAAGCCAAAACCTTGCCTCTTAAAGTGCTTTCAGAATACCGAATGTCATTTCATAGGAGTCCTGTTGGGTATTATTATGGAAGGTTTTGAGGTTCTGAAAGTTTCTGAGTGATTTATTTCAAGGTAATGTCCAGTCCGGGTGGGAGAAGGTTATATTATGCAGCTTCGACCACTTGGCAAAGACTCGCTTCTCCGTGATGAAGCGGTGGCCGCCATATGGAGCGTTCTCGTGGAGGATATACTCATCACATTCGTATCTTCCTGGTTCGTAATAGTGATAGGGAACCTTCCGGAAGCCATTTGTTCTGAAAAGGAAAGAATTGAGATTAATAATGGGGAACGTCAAATGTTTTTAATTGTTAAATTGTGTTTATAGTAGGGTAAAGTATATTCTGAATAATGCTTTTTTATCATCTTTTTTACAGTAGTTACGGAGTTGTGCCTTCTCCCTCTGCTTGTGGAGTATACATAGCAGGCTCCATCCATAACAACTTTAAGCTCATTAAAATAAAACTGAAGTCAAAACATTTCTTTAGTTTAGAATAGAGTAATGGGAGTAAAAACCCCTGACAGTTTTTTTTTTACCATTTGTCCCCCATTGGGAAGATTTTTCTTCACTTCCTGTCCAATAGCCACAAAAGGAAGTCAGAATAAATCCCTCCAAAGTGAATCCTGGTGGTCAGCAAGGTCACTAGAACTAGTGGAAGATTTGCCATCTATTCCTGATCTGGTGACAACCCAGAATTTTGGATTTTCTTTTACTTTCAGTGATAACGATCAACAGAACAAATAGTGAGAGAGGGTCTTCTAATCTCTCCTAATGTCACACGTGCCTTCTGATAACAAGCCACATCTCTGAGCTAATGCAATATAATTTTTACACCTTAGGAACACCAGTAGAGGAACTCTGGAAAGGAATTATAAAATTCATAAAATTATTTAAATAAATAAGGTAAACTTGGTTTATATTGTGTGTGTGATATTCATATGGTCGTTCCCAACTCTTAGCAATTCTATGGACCAGGGCGCCATGTTTGATACACTTGAAAGCTTCTATTCACATACTTTTCTTACAAATTAGGGTCTTGCTTTAACCCTCCCAGTTACACAGGCTTGGGACCAGTATGCAGAACGAGATAACACATGTGCATAGCAGATTTTTACACATATTCTAGGGCCAACTCAGACAGAAGCCAACGTCTTAACCATGACTCGAATCAAGAATCACAGGGCTGCAAGGCAGACATGCTAACTACTGAGCCACTGTGTTTGGACTATTGCAGACTTTAGAACATCTTTCACTTAACACCTTCTGTAAATCTAGGTGTGCAGTTGCCAATGCCAATAATTCTTACGTGCAATATGTGTCATTAATCATTCCATAAACGTGGATTCCTTCACATGCGTCCATGGCGAGGATCATAGTGAACCAGCCGGTACTGAGGTACGATCCAGACTGAACTCTGCAAGGCAAAGAGAGTATGTTAGGAGTTAGGATATTTACAATGTATCTATTATTCAGAATGTAATAATGTGAAGAAAGAGAATGAAGGGAGAGGATAACTAAGCAAGTACATTTCAAAGAAATCTCATAGACCTAGCCACACCTAATAAAGGGAGATTCCAGCTTATACCATGGTGTTGTTGGACCATATATTTATTAACGGGTATGTCAGGCAACATTAAGAAAACAAACATATTCAGTACATTTCTGCGATACATGCACATTACCCCATTTTGTTTCTTTTCAAACATTACATGTAACAGTTGATCTGCCAGAAATTCCCTGAGCTCCACAGCCCTGCCTGCTTCACCTCTTCATCTCTCCCACCCTTAGGCCCCATTCACACTTGGCGATTCGCAAATCACGCGTTTGTCGTGCGATTTGCATGTTGCGCGATATCGCGCAAATGCTTGCATCAAAAACCATTGAATCGCAGCAAAATCCGCTCCAAAAAGGGTCCTGCTGTAGCGACACGCGACCCGCGACAGAAGGACCCTTTGCCCCATTGCAAAGCATTGAAGAGTGATATCGCGCGGTAAATAGGCGCGATATCGCGGGAATTACCGCGCGATAAATCGCTCAATGTGAACGGGGCCTTAGGGGTACCTGGTTTAATCCAGCGATCAAACACATGTATTTGGGTCCAGCGCAGCTATCACATCTTCTGCAATTCTCCTATGTTAAAGAGAATAGGATAAGGGGAAGTATTCTGTAGTCCTAACACACTTCCTCTCCTAGGGTGATAACACTGCTCTTCCATTCAATCTAGATATAGCCGAAGTCCAAGGGTCTTCACTAAAGATTTAAAAAAATTATTCATGGAGCAAATACTTACTGTTTGTTCCTCCCCATGTGTTCTCAACTCATTTCCCCATTTTGGTTTACTCATAAAGATGATGAGTAAGCCTCTGTGAGTAAGCCGGAATGATGAAACACGTTAGAGGTTGAGCACACATGGGGAGGAAAAAACAGTATTTATTTGCTTCATAAATAAAGATTTTCATCCCTTGGAGTGCAGCTATTTCTGGATTGAGTTGCTATGGGCTGCGGCGCACATGTTTGCCTGCTGCCTTGGATGCAATTGTAGTGCAAGTCTGGTTTTGTAATGTGAGTGGTGTTTGCTGTGGCTGCTCTTCCACAGTTCTTAATCCATGTCAGTAGCCACAGGACATGGCTACTAACATGGATTACCTTGCTGGATGCTGTTATTGACCCTGGGTTACTTCTGGGTTTATTAATAACATTTATTTGAAGAGCCAGTAAGTGTTTGGGTTTTATTTTATTTAAGGATTTTTTATTTGCTGGTGTTGTCCCACTTTATGTGGGAATGGGTGAAGGGTACAAATATACTCCTCTACTCATTCCCCGGGGAAGGGATTTCTATTTGGTGACACCCTTAATACAAAGGGTCTTTCAGATTCCACTATAAATACCCCCATTTTACTATTACTGCCTCCTTCCATGTGCTTTTTGGGGCACATGGAAGTGGGGAAGAGGTTCTTGGCTCTCAACATTGAGAGAAGGGTGCTTTGTAAAGCCTGAATGGTTGCCTATGTTGAAAGGCATGTGGACTGGTTTGGTTGGTAAAGTAAGGAGGTGGGGATGGGTGCGCTCGCTCACTACACTGCCTTTCCTGCCCATATGGGCAACATACTAGATCTAGCAGGAATAATAAGGGAACCCCATGCCATGTTTTAATGTTTTTTTTTATTTTTAATTACTACATATCCTCCACAGCTGTGAGGGCTTTTTATGGAATTCTGGTGAAAATACATTGTGGAATTATAAACCAGCCCTGTACTGGTTTATAATTTAACAGTGTAGATAGACCCCTGCTGACTTTATATTTTTATATTACTATGATACAGGATTTTTATAGTGCAGTTTGTGCAGCACTTTATAAATTAAAGGGAGGCAGTACAGTAATATGCGTATAAGTACCGCTCCGCACATATAATTATGGACGCTGTGTGACTTTAAGGCTTTCATACATTTTAACCTATGCACAGTTTTGGCACATTTGCGGATACTACTATAGCTGGAAAGCGCAGAAGTCGCCCAGAATATTGCACTTGTACTTTTTTTTTGCCATTCACGCTTTTGTGCCGCGCATATGACGCCTAGGTGTGAACATGGTACATTAAAATGTATGGGTTTTTGTGTTTTGCGCAGGTGTGAACAGAGCCTTAGGGGTTACTTTATAAAAGTTCTGCTTGATGTTGTTCGCATGGCACTAGGGCCCCTAGATGACGCTGATGAATATAGGAACTTTTATAAATATGCGGCAAGGTGGTTTAATGATTAGCACTTCTTCCTTGCGGCACTGGAGGTTCCCAGTTCAAATCCCAGTCAGGACACTATCTGCAAGTGGTTTGTATGTTCTCCCTGTGCTCACTTGGGTTCCCTCTGGCTTCCTCCCACACTCCAAAGTCATTCTGGAAGGTAAATTGCCTCCTGTCTAAATTGTCCCTGTATGTATGTGAGAAAGGGACCTTAGATTGTAAGCTCCTTGAGGGCAGGGACTGAGGTGAATGCAGATTATGTAAAATGCTGTGCAAATTGTCAGTTCTATATAAATACCTGTAAAAATAAATGAACCCGTGTTTATTTTTGCACTGGAACATCACGGATGTTCAGTTCCAGCTTTTCAGAACCGCATCTGCGCAGTGTGGGACGAACAGACGAACACAAGCAGGAACCCTACTCCTGGCCTGATGGGCCCATTGACACATATTCCCCTGCCATCCCCGATAGCTCTAAACTTCAGAAAGAAGTTCCATCCTTCCGAATATACAGTAGAGTTTCTCTACCAGACACTGCAAATACATTCTGTACCTTCCTGTGACTGCAGTGAAGGGATGTTTTTCATTCTCACAGTTTAAAAGTATTGCTTCAATCTTCAAGTTGACTGCCGGCTGACACCCAATCTAGCACCAGAGGCTGCAGATCAGCAGGTAAGTGTAGAAATTCTATTAGTTTGGCGACCCGGGGTTTACAACATTCATTTTAAATGGAATCAAAATCCTACACATGAATAGGTAGGCAGAAAAATGTCCCCCCACACTGTCCTTGTGCCAATTACCGCAACGGTGGAGACAGAAAAAGTTTCCGCAAACTTCGAGGGGGGGAGGGGTTGGTGGTGATGATGCAGCTACAGATCCAAGCTCTAGACAGTGTCCGCCATAAATTGTAGCTGGAATATTGGGATCTGTGTCAGCTGAGGAGACATATGGCGCAGGCATCATGAGGGGCGTTCGGCAAAGCAATGTCTCCGCGACTGAACCCAAACAGCTAGCAGGGAAATGAGGTTCTGCAAGGTTAATGGCTTGTTTTAGAGACAGGATTGCCGAATACGGGAGGAGGGAGATAGCGCAGCATAAACAACGGATGTTTTCATTTGGAAGAACTCAGAGAATGAGATTAGCACAGCCATAAAAAAAGAAAATCCCGCTGTTGGTTTCTTTGGTAGTTTAATTTTTAATTTTGTTATACGCCGATGTTACAGAGGTTATTTCAAAGTTCAAGACAATGTAGATGTTTTCGTATGTCCGTCTAGAGAACAACCATTAGTATGTGTAGCATGGTGTGGCTTTAAAAGAGAAGATATTTTACTCATAATATCTTCATCAGAAAGCACAGCCTAAAATATAGATCCACACAGATAGGCAGCTGTTTCAAATTTTCTTTTTGTTCAATCATTTTTTATTAGTTTTAGCAAAAGCTCAAAAACAATATATGTACAGCTTGAATGAGATGGTTACATTAGATAATAAATACATCAAATATAAAATTACATATCCAGTACTGCGTAACTGTACAGTGGTCAAAACCCTGAGGCAAATATTTATCCATGGCTGCCAAACTTTGGAGTATTTAGCAATCCTGTTCACAATGGTAGCTCTGATCTTTTTGTGAATCATAGCCTGGGTAACCCTATTCTTGGCATTGATCACATTAAAGTGATACTAAACTCAGGAGGTAAATCTCAAAAATGCATTTCAAGTACTTTAAATATTAACAAATATGTATCTTATTTGTGTATCACTCGGCTGTAGATCCTCAAATCATCTCTGAATTGGTGCTGACACTGTCCTTCCTTCTGGAGGGGGGCTACTTTTGTTCTCCATGGTCCCTGCGTGTGCTGTAAAGTAGCCACCGCTCCAAGCTCGCTCCCATAATACACTACAACCTCTTAGTTAGCTAATTTGTATTGAAGTTATAGTCTTCTATGGAAGCAAGCTACATTACAACGCACATAGGGACCATGGGGAACAAACGTTGCAAACCTCCAGAAGGAAGGACAGTATCAGCACCAATTCGGAGATGATTTGAGGATCTTCAGTCAAGTGATACACAATTAAGATACAGTTTCGTTAATAGTTAAAGTACCTGAATGCTTTTTTAAGATTTAACTCCTGAGTTTAGTGTCACTTTAAGTCTAGGAGTTCTCCAGGCCTTAGCCACGGTTTGCTTTGCAGCTGTTAGGATTATAATTTGCAGTTTAAATTGGGATTTAGTGATGTCCGGCGACATTTGTTGAGGAGTGCATGGGATGAGTTAGGTGCCATAGTGTAATCCAGCCAGTTCGAGAGGATCCAATATATTGCACCCCAAAAGGTGCAAGCAAAAGGTCATGTCCACCAGATATGTAATTAATCCCCTTGGTCAGCGCAACCTCTAAAACAGGTGGATTGATAACCTGGCACAAATTTTGCAATTCTAGCTGTATTTAAGTACCGGTGTGAGAGTACTTTGAAATTTTTTAAAGAGCAGCTACATTTAGGTAACATGACTTAGTTGAGAACCAATTCTGGTCCCAGTCATAATTCAAATCTTTTTCATCATCAGAATAAGATATGCATACCACCCAGCTTTAATGATGGCAAACCAAAGAAACTAGAAATCTCAAGAGACATAGCCGCACTCTGGAGCGAGTGTGGCGTAAAACTTTACCCTGTA